CTCCCCCTGCTTGTGTTCCCTCTCTCGCTGTGTCTCTCTCTATCAAATAAATAAATAAAATCTTTAAAAAATAATAATAAATAAAAATAATAAAATTATGACTGCCCTGAAAATTCAAAAGGGATCCTGGTACTATCCCAGAATACAGCTGACCGTGTCCTTACTATATGTAGTTCTTACCTTCAAGCAGAAGATGAAGAAGTCACCTGCCAAACCACACTCTTGGCAGTGGGCTAACAAGTCCCCAAGATGCTCTACCTGGCACTGCTCTGAGGACACCTTCTGGTACAGGGCTTCATCTTCATCTTCATCACTGCAACACGGGGTAAGATTTACCTTGGCAGTGTCACCCAGAGATTTTTTTTTTTTTTTTGAAACTCCATAATAATCTTCTAAAGTAACAGGGCATTTTCATACAGTAAATCATTAGAAAGATCTCAAAATTTGTTTAAGTTATTTTCCTGTTTCTCCATGCTGAAAAAGTATTTATTCTCAGAAGGTAGGGTATCATGTATAACATAGTTATTTGCTCAGTGGGGAAAAGACTCATGAAGGAAGTGGCTTTGCAGATGCATGTTGAGGAATTACTATTATTTCAATAAATTGAAAAAGCAAGGAGAAATTAAAGTATAGGTTGTATGCAGATACTCTAGTTCCCGAGGAAGAATAGAGAAAAAGAAGTCTGCAAAGGAAGGTCAGATCACAGAGGGCCTTCAAGGCCACTCAAAGAAAGCTAGACTTTTTCTCGAAGAGCCATTGAAGGGTTATGGGCAGTGGGAAGAGACACTATCCTTACAGGAGAACATGCAGTCAATCTCAACTAATAACTAACCAGCAGAAATACGGAAATGCGTAAAGACTCAGAAAACTGAGTAGGCCAAATTTCCAAGTAATAAAATATGGCCAAGTTACTAAAAGCAATGCTATGATTTCTGCAAAAAGTTTTAAGAAACTTCTCATGAGGTACTAAGGGTTTTAGTTTTATTGCAGATTAAATGAAAAAACAAAGAAAAAAATATTACTATACTATTTCATGTAAACAAACACAGAAGCACAAAGATGTACTACAAGACAAAACACTAAAAAAAATGCTAACAGTGACTAGGATTGTAGTTGCTTTTTGTTTTCCTCTATGCTTTTTTGTGTTATACAAAGAAGGTATGTACTCTTGTGATTAAAGAAGGAATAAAGTGTTTTCAGACTAAACTGAGAAAAAAATGACAGATGTTGCTTTATATCATTGAAAAGTACAATTATGAAATAAAGTTAATTTGGCCATCCCATTGGGCAGTAAGTCCCAATCTGCCAGTTCACTAGTAACATGGCCTTTATACTCCTCTAGTAAAATAAATAACCCATAAACTAAGCTTATGATCATTTCTTATATTATCCCAGAATCTCCCAGCGTCCTTCAGATCAGTCATGTATCTACATCACATTTTACGTTAGGAAAAAAACTGAAATGGCCAAGAGTCACTTCTCAGCTTCTCTGAACCATCCTTTCAAAATGAAGTATTATATTCAAATACTTTTTTAAAAAGACATGACAATAATTACCTTACGAAGCTCTATTTCATTCATTCTTAAAATTTCAATGATAAAAGAGTCAGTTCCAAATACTGTAGTTTATTTAGTTCCAGAAAAATAAAAATTCTGGATCCAAAGATCATGAAATCTAAGCTGCTCTTTTAGTGTTTCTTTAAACAAACTTTTTATTGATTACTGGGGCTCCTGGGCAGAATGACAGGGTAAATGGTAAGCGGTGAGACTGACCTGCCTTTAGGGGACTGGCAACAGGAGCAAGATCTTTAGAACAAGAGATAAAATCACACACACACACACACACACACACTTCTTTGATATAGTGAATGTCAACTTTTTGGAGATATAGAGTGTCATAAGTATCCAGTGAAAACTATGGACCCTATTTTCAGAAAAAAAATTTCTTGTATATAATTTCAAAGGGACTGTGGATGCCTAGAAGTCCATGTAGAAACCTGGAGTTAAGGGTCCATTGCTTCTGGCAGTAGATGGAGATTCATTCAGTAACTGCCTATTCAGTTTTCTCCTACCATGAAGAGAAACTATAGTTTCAATAAGAACTGTCGATTCTGACATATATGCACTAAGATATACACTAGAGACTTGTCATGATGGCAATTAGCTTTAACTACTGATAAGTTAAAGACTATAAAATTCTCTATACAGTCACTAAAGTGTCCCAGATTAAACTGTTCATAAGTGCTTTTATAAAATAAACATGTCAAGAAATTTTAAACTCTTTCAGTTCAGGGGCATAGTTACAACCACAAAACCTACTAGTGCTCAACAACTCTCAAGAAATTGGTAGCTTGCATTTGTACTGATAATTCTGCTTGCAATCAATGTGTGTTTTCCATTTTTCTCAAGTCCATCATATTGAAAGAGTGTCTTATAACTTTACTAAGTTAACCATGAATAAAAAATAAAATTTACACCTTAACAAACAGCCACACTTTGAATGTGACATAAAAATCTGAACCGTTGGGGCGCCTGGGTGGCTCAGTCGTTGGGTGTCTGCCTTTGGCTCAGATCATGATCCCGGGGTCCTGGGATAGAGCCCCGCATCGGGCTCCCTGCTCCACGGGAAGCCTGCTTCTCCCTCTCCCACTCCACCTACTGTGTTCCCTCTCTCGCTGTGTCTCTCTCTGTCAAATAAATAAATAAAATCTAAAAAAAAAAAAATCTGAGCCGTCAGTTAAGAACTGTATGGGACTCTGGTCAACAGGAACTTACATTCTAAGGTAATAATATCTACACATATCACCCAAAAAAAGGAAATAATTTAAAGTATACTTGTAAGATGTTAGAGAAATAAATGATCCATTCCACTAATATTCTAATTGCTCTCCAGGAGAAAGAAACCCCCATCGTAAAATTAACATAAAAGATAGCAATTAGACAATTTCCCTGAGGAATAAGTCTGACTCTGAACACACATACACCATTTAGAGAGTCAGAAAGAGAAATGGATCGTTATGGTGCTGAGGGTAAACAGGTGACTGCCCTTTACTCTGATTCTCTGGCAAAGACTTTGTGAAGTAAGTGGGCCTGTGATGCAGAGCTGTGAGGCTCCAGCAAATTGCACCTACTATTAGCTAGCATCTGGGAAAAAAACCTGCAAGATTATTTAAGGCGCTCACATTTCATTTAGAGATTATAAATAGCAGCACCTCAACTGCTTCAAGTTCCAGGTCCCGTTCTATCAGCGCCCCTTAGTGGACAATTCAGGGAAGGGCCTTTTGGGTGCAATTGTGTCCGAAGAGAGAGGGTAAAGAATGGGTGGACTCACCAAATGGCCTCTTTGATGGTAACCATGATGCCACCTTGAGTGGCAGCTCTAAACTGACACAGAGAATGAAGAGAGGACACAGATTTGTCCAATCCTGCAAATCCTTTCAGGCTGGCAATTGCCTTCTTCCTCTCTAGCTTCCCCAGAATCCATAATAAGATCTCTTGGCAAAGTGACCTGGCAGAAAAAGCAGTTATAAATGAGCTTGTCATCTTACTCTACACATCTAACAAGCTAACATAAAAAAAGAAAGGAAGACTGTCAGGTTCCACAGCATTCTAAATGCTGGCACGACCACCTAGTACTACTAAAGTGTAGGACTGGAAACTATGCTTCCTGTGAATTTCAGGATATATCTAATATCCTGAAATTCAATGAGTAACTGACTAATCTTTGGCCCTAGAAGCAACCATGATAAGACACAGGAGCCCCACATGGTTTTTTTAAAAAAAAAATTCCAAGTGTAGCATTGCCTTTGGATCAGGCACTGTGAAAGAAAGTTTACACTGATAAAACCATCTACCAATGGGACCAAGAGCTGGTGACCAAGAAACAGCATACCAACAAATTCTGGCTGATTCCTCTGCCCCTTTTATCTTTGCCAGTCAACGAGGATTGGGATGGAATAAACATTTGCTTCCTCCTTCCCAGTCTCTGATGAGGACATGATAGTGCTGTGAATATTTGGTTTTCAAAACTGTAAGTTATTATATGGACAGTTCTTTGAAGCCAAATTCACATATTTATTGTCCCCATCTTCCTCTCTGTTCTCTCTTGTCACTGCTCCTGTGCTGGCCAAAAGTTAGAGTCCAAAGTAGTATGTGAGTTTTCCTTCACCGCTTAACAACGATGATGGAAGCGGTCTATTGAGTTTACGATTTTCCAGGGACAGTGCTAAACACTTTATAATCTGTCTTCATAATACTCTATGAAGAAGGTATTATTACTGTATATCTGATCACATGTGGGGGATTTCCAAACACTAAAAATCAGAACTCTCTAGGACTTTAAAAAGGATATAAACCCTTATAAGGAGGAAGAAACAACATAAATATCTGTGAAAACAGAGCTGACACAAAATGAAGCCTACTTAAATTCCAATACAAAAGATTATTTTCTGGATGATTAAGAAATCCCTTCGTTCCAAACAACACTGAGCAGCACTCACACCAAATCCAAGTCTAAATGACAGAGTGCCACATTCAGATCCAAATTTCCCCAACTTGATTTCTCATTCCCCACAAGGTTATGATCCATTCTCCATTTCCTCCTTCCTAGACATGTAATTCCAGTACTCCTCACTGATCAAACAGTGACATGTTTACACATGTAAACAGGGATTTTGTCTCTGACGTCTAGAACAGAGGCTGAGGAAAGCCATTCTAAAAATTACATCCAATCCCCTGCAATCTGAAAAGCTCTCTTTCTTTTGCAAATGAGCAGAATAAGAGGATACTCAAATGTTTTACTGATTTTGAAAGAAAAAAAAATTACAAAGTAGCATTAAGTTTTATATTCAAAATAAGAATAAGAAAAACATACAGTAAAGATTTCACTATAAACAAATAAGGTTTTATGGGGTTTTTTTGTTTTTTTACCTTATGTGAGATACACTTTGTTTGGTAAAACAGTAGAGAGAAAAGAGCACTCCCAGGACGGGAAGCAGGGAATCCACTAAAACTGTCACAGGTTCATTCCCAACCACGTATACCTAGGGAAAAGAAAATGGTGAGAGGTACCATGAGTACAAGGCCAGAGGACTGGGAATCAAATACCATACCTACTAGCAGCATAGAGTTTTATCTTAAGCAACACTTTAGTTCTAAACCGAACAATTTTAGCTCTAAGGCTAAGAAAACCATTTGAGATTGGCAGACAGGCTGAAACACAGGGAGCCTGAGCTGGAGCAGCGCCCTTCCGTGTGTGCAGCCTGAAGAACTTCAGGGGAAAATGGGTAAATTAATCCATCTCCTGACCCCTTCCTTTCTTGCTTTTGACTACCTTTGTGTCTCTTGCTAATCTGTCTATTACTCATCTATACAATAATTCTCTAATTGCTGAAGGCCCTGCTCTTAGGAACAAACAAGCAATTAATGCCAAATAGAAAAACTTAAAACTAGATTTGAAAAATAAAAACAAAGCTTGCTCTAGATTTGTCACTCTTAAGATCTAACTGCCATATGGGCATGTCCTATTCTAATTCAATAAATGTTAAAAGAAATTACAATGTGCACCTAGCTCTGCGCTGACTTTATAGGGTTAAGCATCTAAGAATGCTGATTTTTGTTAACAGTAATTATGTTACACATTTTAGTTGTCCTTTCAAAAAGGACAGCACAAATGCATTCAACAACATTTATGTGAATACCCACTGAAATCCAAGCATTGTCCTAGGCATTGTAGTGAATATAAAAATGAGTAAGAGTTGTTCTCTCTCAATTGCTTGTGATCTACCAAGAAGAATAAAACAAGTAAACCAATTATAATAATAATAATCCAAAGCAGGTAATTTAAAGAATTAAGAAGAACAAAATTCTATTTTTTCAATATTCTTTCTGTAAATAAGGGCTTCTTTAAGTTTCCCTTTCCTCATCCTTTAAAATAGGGCTAAGACTGGGACACCTGGGTGGCTCAGTCAGTTAAGCGTCTGCCTTCAGCTCAGGTCATGATCATGGGGTCCTGGGATGGAGCCCCGCATCGGACTCCTTGCTCAGCAGGGAGCCTGCTTCTCCCTCTGCCTGCCGCTCCCCCTGCTTGTGCTTGCTCGCTCTCTCTAAAATAAATAAAATCTTTTAAAAAAAGAATTAATCACTGAAGGTTCATCTTTCTCCATTCATCACTATCTGTGTCTATGCTATCAGATTTTAATTATTAATTAAATTGTGCTTAATTGAAGTAGAAATCAATGCTGTTTATTTATTTTTTATCAGTGCTGTTTATGGAGTACTAAAGGTCATGGAGGCACAAGCTGGAAAGCCCTCTGTGCTTTTCTAGAGAACCCTGTCCCTTTAAATCAACCCTAATTTTTCACACTCCATAAGCCTCCCAGCTCCTCTGTGGAGCTTGATAACCAAGGAGCCAGTTTCCTGTGCATGATCTAATCTCCATAAGCCTAGCTAAATGAGGCGCACTGTATGGCAGTGTTCACAAGAAATATGCAGGCCTAATTATGATATCACCAATTACAAGTGGTAAAAAAAAGAGATTCCCCCAGGTAATGTAAGGGCCTATTGTTTGGTTCTGTAGTCTGTGTTCCCAGAAGTAATCCCTGTGGAGCCATCCTTCCGTACCAGCATCTTTTGTACAAAAACCAAAAACCAAATGGAGTTAAATCTCCATTATTTATTGGCTTGACTGGGCCAAAGCACCACAAATTTTTTTTAAAGATTTTATTTATTTATTTGACACAGAGAGAGAGAGAGCTCAAGCAGGGGGGAGCGGCAGAGGGAGAAGCAGGCTCCCTGCTGAGCAAGGAGCCTGACGAGGGACTTGATCCCATGACCCCGGGATCATGACCTGAGCCAAAGGCAGATACTTAACCAACTGAACCACCCAGGTGCCCTGGCACCTCAAACTTTAACATGAATTCAATCAAGCCCATTACTCAGGGGTATATGTTGTTATTGATAAATTCCTCCAATTTTTAAGTTCTCTTGTTATACTTATCTGAAGGACAAGTACTGATAATGAATTTTGGAACAATTGATCAATGAATTTTTTCTGTGAGATCTCAAAGAACTTGAATGGACTCTGCTTGACACACAGAGGCTGTCGCCTCCCTTCCAAATTAATAATACATTTCTCCTTGTACTGAGCCCAAAACTATCTCCATTTTAAACTTCCTGATGGGAGGACATTTATTTTCAAAAGATTTGGATGGGCCATACAAAAGGTCTACCTTTTCCATAAGCCTATTATTTATTTGACTGTTCAACTGTTCATCCACTCATTCACTGACTTAAACATTTAGTAAGCATCTAACCACCATTAATGACTTTTCTCCTCTAAATTCCAATATCATTTTAGGGCTTATAATCAGCCCATAAATACACAGCTATCTTTCCCCTCTTCAACTAGCCTCTCTATTTCTCTATTTCAGCACCTATTACGATAGATGATTAAGTTGTATTACCTGAATGTTTGCTGACCAAGCAGTTGTTACAGAAGTATACAACCTAAATGAACCCACTGTTACTGTTTCTATGAAGCCAACAATAACTACCATTTACTGCAATGTCTATTCAAGAATAAACCAGGTTAGGGGCGCCTGGGTGGCTCAGGTCATGATCCCAGCGACCTGGGATCGAGCCCCGCATCGGGCTCCCTGCTCCGCGGGAAGCCTGCTTCTCCCTCTCCCACTCCCCCTGCT